TTTTGGTTAAACTTTGCCATTTTCTGTTAACTGTGATGAGGAATCCAAAAATGTAATTAAAAAATGGGGATCCATGACTTAGTTTTCAATCTACTGTTGGATCAAAGTGACAATGTCCATGTTTCCTTACAAAATTGAGCATATCAAATGGAGTTTGAGAAACAAAAATATAAAAAGAAAACAGCATTGCATACACCTAACAGAAAATGAATGTCAAAACAAACAAAAACACAAGAACAAAGCAATTGACACTGACAAGTGAGTGAATGTAAATATTGCCTCTTCATGACCAACAGGTGTGCGGGAGGATTGCCTTCTCATGTGGCCAGCAACCATTTTCTTCTGATCACACATACACTCACTCATTCACATACACTTTCAAACATGTGTCAATGCTCAGGTTAGATGGAATGAAAGATAATTTACAGTATATGTACTAATACTAAGAAAAAAATTTTATTACAAAAATACAATGCTCTACCTCAGTTCTATCACAATACATAAATATTAAGTATTCTAAAATATACAAATGAATGCAAAAGAATAAAAGTTTGAAAGTAGTAACATCCGCATAACAGTTTAATTATCATATAATTATTATTATGAAGATATGAAAGAAAAAAAATATTAATACTTGATTGCTTGCTGTTCTCTCAATTAGTTGTATGCTCTTTGGAACTTACCATAAAGTTGCTATTGAAAACAAATCATACAGAAACACTCCTTTTGATGGAAAAAGTAGATTTTTATTTTCTATAATTCACAACAGATATGCAATTTAGCTTTTTGGTCCTCTTCAGTCCTTATTTTACTATGTATATCAGTAAAACTGAAAATATTTATATTAAAAATATATTAAAATGTATGTATGTATGTATGTAAAAAAATATTATTTATCTATTTTATTTAGTTTATGCATGTGAACAGTTCAGTTTAAAAATTACATAAAATTAAAAGAAACAATAATGAATGCATAATTTTAAATATGTATTTACTTAAATTGTTTTAAGAATATATTTATCGATGCTGACATTGTTAACAAAAATCTGTTAAAATCTAAAATTTGAACCTTAATGGTAATAAACTTTGTTTTTGTAATTTTGTCATATTCACCACAAGCACTTCTAAATAAATAGCATATTATTTTTAAATTAGTTATTTTTTAAAAAATAGAAAAAATATCATCTATTTTCTTCATTTCCGAAAAAGTTCACTGTTACTTATAATAAATAAGGTAGAGTCCTGCTAGTTTAAACACTTCTAATGCAAATGATCCTAATCCACCTAATCCAAACATGTTTCGGTTGGCAGAGAGGAAATGTGCTGACAAGAGGTCCACTTAGTGTTTCCCTTTTTCTTTCCTGAGTGAACCACATGAATAAGGTTTCATCAAACTTGTTAAACATTGAGAGCCTTGCTGTTTGTCGATTTTCAATTGATTTTTCTGAAGTAGAAGCACAAAACTGCTCAATCTTTGTGCGTTTTTTTCCCCAATTGGTTATTGTGGCATCTCTATTGAGTACAAGTCAGATTAAATAACGGGTGGAGTGCTGATGGTGTTGGATCTACATAAACCAGACTTGTTTTACTGCTTGCTTCTGCATTATTTCAATTATTTGGCTAATCTGTACAGGGCTCAGTCCCAATTAGTTCGAACTAATGGGACTCTACTATACAAAATTTCAATACTAATCATATCTAATTATATAATTGACAAAACTTAATAACAAAGCCTTTGAATCAGATTCAATGCTTTGTTTTGCAGATTTAAATTAGAATTTATTTTGTCATTTCATCTATTATCTCTGTGTATATATTTATAATAATGTATGTATGAGTATACTTAAATAGTATATACATATCTGTACTTTATGTATATTTATATATTGTATATGTACACTGGTGTGCAAAACTTAAGCAACAATATAATTTTTAAGCAGACAGCCATGAATTGTAGAAAAGGGCTTGTTGCAATCAGTACAATAAACACCCAACTCAATAGAAAGGTGATTCGTATTCAGGAAGAAAACATCACAGATGATGTGAGGGCACATATAACGTGTGCAGTAAGGATTTGTGCAGGAGGATTTGATTCCATACCGTATGTGTTCTATTCATTTTTGTGCTAGTATGGTTTCTTTATCCTTTAAATATAAAAGACTGTTTGTATTTTGAATTTCATGTCTCCCAGGTGATATCTTGCGGAGTTACGGCAAAAAACAATTGTTGCTTAAGTTTTGCACACCAGTGTATTTGTAATATATTATTATTATTATTATTATTATTTTTGATGTAATATAGTGATATCTCAATCTATTGTTCCTGGATGTATTGCTTTCCTGAAAACATTGTTCAATTTCTAGATCCTTGAACAAATCCTATTAAAATTATGGAATTAAACCTGCTAGTTGTTCCTCAATTCATAATTTTCCTGCATCTATTAGTTAGAATTTTTAGTTCTGAAGAACAGTAATTCCAAATTGATTATTTTTAAGAAAGCAACACCATACATACAAATGTTAGTTTGTATTTGTAATAGTTGCAGAAGTTGGACTCTGTGAAACCTTTCAGTCATTTTACAATGTTGCATGATGTTGGATTGCAAGCCAACATCATGAATAATGAGAATTTATAATTCAGTTTGAAAAGAAAAAGTGCTACTAAACAAATGAAGATGAATGATGAATGACTTTATTAAAAAAGAAATAATGCAGATTAGATATGACAGTGGAAAACATCATTGGTGTATGTTTTTGATTTAATAAATACATATAGGCAAATATGATTTTTTAAACTTAATTTTATTTTATTTCCGTTTCTGCACTGTTATTTTCCTGTAACCATAGGTTAGTTTTTCCTCCTTCAAGCCTTCCAATGAAAATGATGAATTGAGGTTTCACTCTATAAGCTAAGCTTATTATATTGAATATTATAAAATATTACATAAATTTTTATGTTTACTATAAATAAATTTTCAATTTAGTAATTTCTTTTTAAAAATTTCTTCAGTTTTTAAACATTGTAATAATACAGTACTGTATATTTACTAGTGTTGCAACGAATAGTATATTTGGCCAGGAGCGTGGCCGAATATTCGGCCAAACTATTCGGCTCGATTAACGCACATATGAAAATTGGCATGCAAACCGCATTATGGAAAGGATCCTGCTCTCTATTGGCCCGCTGTCACTATGCTTCACCAATCGCGTTAGTTCTTGACAGTTGTAGCGGACAGACGAGCATCATGGCAGTATGTGATAAATGATGATATCAAATGTGAATAACAATGAAATGATCAACATGTGTAAATAACGGAAAAAGAACAGAGAAGGACCCCACAAAGTGAAAATGTGAAAATAAATATGAAATTGAGTTGATAACATAATCAAACAAGTCGAGGCAGCTTATTGGCGCGAAATTCGCGGCTGTCAATGCCAAACAATTGTTGTGATAGACTTCGGAAAGCTAAATGTTTGTAATAAAAGTCACTTAGCGTGCATGGGCGAAAGCCTGGGGCCGTTCGGGATACCAAGCTGTCTCAAATCTGTGAAATCATAACTGTGACATATGCCGATGTCCTATCTGTCTCTTTTCTCTGTTATCACCAGGCTATGAGTCACGTAATTATAAAATGGAAAAACTACAACGGAAAAGTGACGAATCGAAAGTATTGTGAGCGCATATTATGATGTATGCATAGGCATACGTGGAGTAGAGAGATAGAGGAAAGTGAAAGGAAAGAGCAAAGACAAGCGCTTAAAAAGGATAGGCAGGGTCAGATCCTCAGATGTGTGCGACAATTCTTGAACGAATAGGTGTGTACGTGTGCTGATATTTGTAATTATAAATTGTAAATACATGTGACTAATATTATTTTTTTTTATTTTGTGCATGTTATAAGTTATAAATAAATATAAACAAAGAACACTAATCCGATAATATTAAATCTAAATACCAAAATGATTAATTTACTGTGTTTTTGTTATTTCTTACTCCTGTTTTTAGGTATTCGGCCAAATAGCGAAAAATAGGCCGAATACCAAATAGTAACAGAATATTCGTTACATCACTAATATTTACATATTGATTAGAGAAAAAATTGATATTAAATAAATTGGAATATTAAAAAAAATGTTAAGATAAATTACTGTATACATTTGATTAGATCTGCAGGTTTAAATTATTTTGCATGCTTGAATAAACTTGCATCCCAGTCACATTTAAAACACAAAAATGTTGTTTATTCAAAATTGTAATTGTGTAAATAATTGCATCACATTACTTGTTACCTTTTTAGAATTATTTTTTGATTTTCATTTAAAAATCCCTACAGTTGCTCACACTAACACACAAAAAAACTAATTTTTAAAAAATAACTCTTCAGATTCCCACAAAGAGCTCCATAAGCTTGAATAAATCACACTCCAACTGGATTTTTAAAAATAGATTCACAGTAAGTCTATTGTAGTGCATATAATAATCATGATATATGCGATATTTTCAGAATATTTTATATCATCAGTAATTAAATATATATTTTATATTACTATGTATTTTTATATAATAAGATAAAAATGCCATATGAATCAATATTTAAGATAAAGGAAGATAAGTTTGATATATAACATATATACAAGTAGTACTTTCCACATGGTTAATTTGATGATTACATCAAAATAAAATTAAAATTATAAGAAATACTAACATAAAAATATACTATTTTGTAAATTATATTTATTCTTGAATATTCTAAATTTAATTAATAATTATATTTAATTACAATATTTCCTATAATATTTAATTACAATATTTCCTATATTCTGTCTTAATTTAAATTGTATATAATTTTCTTATTTGTTTGAAAATTAATGAAATAATAATAAAACAAGTTATATTTCACTTATATATATCATTAATATACGAAATACTGTACTGTACATTTTATAATAAAATTTAAACATAAATATAAATATAAAGCATTATAACTTTTTCTTTCTTAGATTTTGTGGCGTATGTGGTGATCATCCTCATTGCAGTTGTTATCCTAGTCATATATTTTGTTCCAAAGTATGGAAATACAAATGTCCTGATATACATATTGATCTGTTCTGCAATTGGCTCATTATCTGTAATGGGATGCAAAGGACTTGGAATTGCTTTAAGAGAGACATTCAGTGGAGAAAAAAATGATTTTAAGAATTTTGTGACCTGGTTTTGTTTATTTTCTGTCATTGCTTGTATCTCAATACAGATGAATTATTTGAATAAGGCTTTGGATATATTTAATACATCAATAGTGACTCCTATCTATTATGTTTTCTTTACAACTTTTGTTATAATAGCTTCATCCATACTATTCAAAGAATGGACCAGTTTGAGTTTTGAAGATATACTTGGCAATTTGAGTGGATTTCTAACTGTGATCTGTGCCATATTTTTGCTCAATGCTTTTAAAGATTGGGATGTCTCACTGTCAAATTTGAATAATGTTTTAAGACCAAATGGTATGTCTCCTGTTTCTATGTCATCGGAGTCAGTTGCATCTTCTATTATTATAGATAAGCACAGAAGAGATAGTAGTAAAAGCCATCTTGACAGATTATCTTTAACATTAAGTGAAGCTACTTATGGCACAGTTAGTAGTCATTCATATGAAGCAAAGTCTTAGTTCTACCTCACTGAGTAAGTATTAAGGTCTTTGATCGATATTAATGAGTATTAAGGAAGAATTGAGAAAGGAGTTTCATTGACATTGTTTCAATTGTAAAGATATTTTTTAGGATATATATTGTTCAGAAATTTTTAGATTTATTTTTGTTTATTTCATAAAGTGATTTTAAATTATGAATCTTAATTAATATTAATTTAAAATGTTGCTTATTATATATTAAGATTGATGGAAATTTTCACTATCCTGTCAAGCTATTCTTGTTTGCACAAAATTAGCATGTATTTAAAATTTACATATTTAATTAAATTAATAATGAATAATCTACATTAACATTTTATACTATATATTATAAAGTATCTATTTTATTTGCACATTTCTACTATATTTAACTTCAAATCAGAAGAAAATTTTATATACTATAAAAACAAAAATATTGTTATATATTTATAATCTAATTTTATGATTCCTTCTAAACAAATTTGTGAAATATAATGTATAATATATAATAATGGATCAGGAAAATGATCATTTTTAGTTTTATTGCCTTAAATAGCCAATATCACTTAATTGTACAATTATTAAAATTTAAATCACAATATTTATTATACAATACAACATAATTCCTTAAGATGTAAACATGTATTTGATTAATGAAGCAATAATAGAAACAATGTTACAATAAAGTTAAAGCATTTAATTATAAAACTATAAGAAATGATAAAATTAAAAATCTGAACATATTCAGAAAGTATATATATACTGAAAAAGTGTTTAAATATTTTTAAAAATTAACATAATCATCTTGTAATGTTCTGTTTAATTATTTTGTACCCTAAGTGCAAAACTTAAGCAACAATATAATTTTTAAGCAGACAGCCATGAAATTGTAGAAAAGAGTTTGTTGCAATCAGTACAATGAACACCCAATTCAGTAGAAAGGTGATTTGCATGCAAATATCAGGAAGAAGGCATCACAGGTGACATGAGGGCACAACTCTTTCAATAAAGTTTTTTTTTTTCCTTTTATTCCATACTGTATACATTCTACTCTGAATTTCATGTCTTCCAGGCGATTTCTTGTGGAGTTACAGCAAAAAAACAAATCGTTGCTTAAGTTTTGCACATCAGTGTATTATTGGTTATCATTACACATGTAGTTTCAAATTGTTGCAATTATTCACTTTCTTGTAATGTTCAATGACAAAAATTATCTTGTGATATGGCAATTTTAAGTATAATTTTTGAAAATGTAGAAAGATACTTTTCTGATAATTTTTTTTCAATGCAAAACATATAAAGCAAAAATATTAGATAACACAAATTTGTTAGCTTTTTGAAAGTATACAACCCTTGTATAGGATATACACACAACATTTTGCATCTAATTTTTAAAACAAAAATTTTATATATATATCAATTTCATTTTAACTTTTTCCTTTTCCTTGTGTATACTTATAAACTTTAGGTATACATTACATTAATTTATTGATTTGAAATGACCTTCACATAGCCATAATTCAATGTTTTATATCTGTTGCTTGAGTAATTCTTACTATCTATTGTGATAGCAAAAGTTATGACAAAGCTTGTCTATTAAAACTATTGAATTAATTTTAAAACATGAATTGTTTTATATATATTTAGCTATTAAATTTCTATCACAAAAAATTTATTTTCTTTNACTCATTCACATACACTTTCAAACATGTGTCAATGCTCAGGTTAGATGGAATGAAAGATAATTTACAGTATATGTACTAATACTAAGAAAAAAATTTTATTACAAAAATACAATGCTCTACCTCAGTTCTATCACAATACATAAATATTAAGTATTCTAAAATATACAAATGAATGCAAAAGAATAAAAGTTTGAAAGTAGTAACATCCGCATAACAGTTTAATTATCATATAATTATTATTATGAAGATATGAAAGAAAAAAAATATTAATACTTGATTGCTTGCTGTTCTCTCAATTAGTTGTATGCTCTTTGGAACTTACCATAAAGTTGCTATTGAAAACAAATCATACAGAAACACTCCTTTTGATGGAAAAAGTAGATTTTTATTTTCTATAATTCACAACAGATATGCAATTTAGCTTTTTGGTCCTCTTCAGTCCTTATTTTACTATGTATATCAGTAAAACTGAAAATATTTATATTAAAAATATATTAAAATGTATGTATGTATGTATGTAAAAAAATATTATTTATCTATTTTATTTAGTTTATGCATGTGAACAGTTCAGTTTAAAAATTACATAAAATTAAAAGAAACAATAATGAATGCATAATTTTAAATATGTATTTACTTAAATTGTTTTAAGAATATATTTATCGATGCTGACATTGTTAACAAAAATCTGTTAAAATCTAAAATTTGAACCTTAATGGTAATAAACTTTGTTTTTGTAATTTTGTCATATTCACCACAAGCACTTCTAAATAAATAGCATATTATTTTTAAATTAGTTATTTTTTAAAAAATAGAAAAAATATCATCTATTTTCTTCATTTCCGAAAAAGTTCACTGTTACTTATAATAAATAAGGTAGAGTCCTGCTAGTTTAAACACTTCTAATGCAAATGATCCTAATCCACCTAATCCAAACATGTTTCGGTTGGCAGAGAGGAAATGTGCTGACAAGAGGTCCACTTAGTGTTTCCCTTTTTCTTTCCTGAGTGAACCACATGAATAAGGTTTCATCAAACTTGTTAAACATTGAGAGCCTTGCTGTTTGTCGATTTTCAATTGATTTTTCTGAAGTAGAAGCACAAAACTGCTCAATCTTTGTGCGTTTTTTTCCCCAATTGGTTATTGTGGCATCTCTATTGAGTACAAGTCAGATTAAATAACGGGTGGAGTGCTGATGGTGTTGGATCTACATAAACCAGACTTGTTTTACTGCTTGCTTCTGCATTATTTCAATTATTTGGCTAATCTGTACAGGGCTCAGTCCCAATTAGTTCGAACTAATGGGACTCTACTATACAAAATTTCAATACTAATCATATCTAATTATATAATTGACAAAACTTAATAACAAAGCCTTTGAATCAGATTCAATGCTTTGTTTTGCAGATTTAAATTAGAATTTATTTTGTCATTTCATCTATTATCTCTGTGTATATATTTATAATAATGTATGTATGAGTATACTTAAATAGTATATACATATCTGTACTTTATGTATATTTATATATTGTATATGTACACTGGTGTGCAAAACTTAAGCAACAATATAATTTTTAAGCAGACAGCCATGAATTGTAGAAAAGGGCTTGTTGCAATCAGTACAATAAACACCCAACTCAATAGAAAGGTGATTCGTATTCAGGAAGAAAACATCACAGATGATGTGAGGGCACATATAACGTGTGCAGTAAGGATTTGTGCAGGAGGATTTGATTCCATACCGTATGTGTTCTATTCATTTTTGTGCTAGTATGGTTTCTTTATCCTTTAAATATAAAAGACTGTTTGTATTTTGAATTTCATGTCTCCCAGGTGATATCTTGCGGAGTTACGGCAAAAAACAATTGTTGCTTAAGTTTTGCACACCAGTGTATTTGTAATATATTATTATTATTATTATTATTATTTTTGATGTAATATAGTGATATCTCAATCTATTGTTCCTGGATGTATTGCTTTCCTGAAAACATTGTTCAATTTCTAGATCCTTGAACAAATCCTATTAAAATTATGGAATTAAACCTGCTAGTTGTTCCTCAATTCATAATTTTCCTGCATCTATTAGTTAGAATTTTTAGTTCTGAAGAACAGTAATTCCAAATTGATTATTTTTAAGAAAGCAACACCATACATACAAATGTTAGTTTGTATTTGTAATAGTTGCAGAAGTTGGACTCTGTGAAACCTTTCAGTCATTTTACAATGTTGCATGATGTTGGATTGCAAGCCAACATCATGAATAATGAGAATTTATAATTCAGTTTGAAAAGAAAAAGTGCTACTAAACAAATGAAGATGAATGATGAATGACTTTATTAAAAAAGAAATAATGCAGATTAGATATGACAGTGGAAAACATCATTGGTGTATGTTTTTGATTTAATAAATACATATAGGCAAATATGATTTTTTAAACTTAATTTTATTTTATTTCCGTTTCTGCACTGTTATTTTCCTGTAACCATAGGTTAGTTTTTCCTCCTTCAAGCCTTCCAATGAAAATGATGAATTGAGGTTTCACTCTATAAGCTAAGCTTATTATATTGAATATTATAAAATATTACATAAATTTTTATGTTTACTATAAATAAATTTTCAATTTAGTAATTTCTTTTTAAAAATTTCTTCAGTTTTTAAACATTGTAATAATACAGTACTGTATATTTACTAGTGTTGCAACGAATAGTATATTTGGCCAGGAGCGTGGCCGAATATTCGGCCAAACTATTCGGCTCGATTAACGCACATATGAAAATTGGCATGCAAACCGCATTATGGAAAGGATCCTGCTCTCTATTGGCCCGCTGTCACTATGCTTCACCAATCGCGTTAGTTCTTGACAGTTGTAGCGGACAGACGAGCATCATGGCAGTATGTGATAAATGATGATATCAAATGTGAATAACAATGAAATGATCAACATGTGTAAATAACGGAAAAAGAACAGAGAAGGACCCCACAAAGTGAAAATGTGAAAATAAATATGAAATTGAGTTGATAACATAATCAAACAAGTCGAGGCAGCTTATTGGCGCGAAATTCGCGGCTGTCAATGCCAAACAATTGTTGTGATAGACTTCGGAAAGCTAAATGTTTGTAATAAAAGTCACTTAGCGTGCATGGGCGAAAGCCTGGGGCCGTTCGGGATACCAAGCTGTCTCAAATCTGTGAAATCATAACTGTGACATATGCCGATGTCCTATCTGTCTCTTTTCTCTGTTATCACCAGGCTATGAGTCACGTAATTATAAAATGGAAAAACTACAACGGAAAAGTGACGAATCGAAAGTATTGTGAGCGCATATTATGATGTATGCATAGGCATACGTGGAGTAGAGAGATAGAGGAAAGTGAAAGGAAAGAGCAAAGACAAGCGCTTAAAAAGGATAGGCAGGGTCAGATCCTCAGATGTGTGCGACAATTCTTGAACGAATAGGTGTGTACGTGTGCTGATATTTGTAATTATAAATTGTAAATACATGTGACTAATATTATTTTTTTTTATTTTGTGCATGTTATAAGTTATAAATAAATATAAACAAAGAACACTAATCCGATAATATTAAATCTAAATACCAAAATGATTAATTTACTGTGTTTTTGTTATTTCTTACTCCTGTTTTTAGGTATTCGGCCAAATAGCGAAAAATAGGCCGAATACC